GGGATTGGGAATGGGGGAATGGGGGAATGTGGATAGGATGGGGATGGGGATAGGATGGGGACAGGAATGGGAACAGGGACAGGGACAGGAATGGGGTCAGGGTACCCCAGGGTCAGCGGGGTCTCAGGTTTGGGGACACCAAGGTTTTGGGACTGGGGGGACACCGGGGCTGGGATCAGCAGGGTCTTGGGGGTTTGGGGACGGTGGCCTCTGGTCCTTGAGGGCCATGGGGACAGCGGGGGCTCGGGGGTGGGGGACACTCACCTCCGCTCCCGGGGGTCCCTCCTGTCCCCAAGCCCCGGTGACGAACGGCCCCGGTCCCTGGGGGTCACCCGGCTCTGGGGACACGTCCGGCCCCGGGGGCTCGGGCACAGCCGGCCGCGGCTCCCCGGCTCCCTCCTGCTCCCCCTGGCCCCGGGGCACGGCCGGCTCGGGGTCCCCAGGGGGCTCTCGGTGGCCATCGAGCTCCGCGGCTTTGGGGACGGCCACGTCCGAGCGTCCGGGGCCCTCCTGCCAAGGGACGCTCGGCCCCGGGCCTGGGGGAGCCCCCGGATCTTGGGGTTCGGGCTCGATCCTCTCTGCTCCCGCGGGCTCAGCCACCTCCCGGGGGCCGGTGGCAGCTGTCCCCAAGTGTCCCCGTCCCTGGGGGACATCCAGCCCCCCGCCCTTGGGGACCCCCGTGTCCGGCCCGTCCCGCTCCGACGCTCCGTCCTTGTCGGTCCCCTGTTCTTGGGGACCCCCCTGGGCCGGGGCTCTCCGGGCGGGCGGGGGTCCCCCGGGGCCTGCGGGGGGAGGGGACACCCCAGTCAGGGAGGGGGTGGGGGTGACCCCCCCGGCTCCGGGGGGCGGTGGGGGTCCCGTGTCCCCTGCCAGCCCCCCGGGACGCACCGGTGGCCTCGCGGTTCCGGATGGTTTGGTTGATGCAGAACCTCCAGCGCCCCACGGGCGACGACTGGGGGGGCCCTTCCCCTGCTGGGGGGGGGGCGAGGGGTCAGCGGGGGGAGGGGGTGTGGGGGGCGACCCCAGCCCCCTCCCCTCCCCCAGTACTCACCCCCCGCTGCCGGCTCCGGGGGTCCCACCTGGGGGAGACACATTTGGGGGTGAGTGGGGGGGTCTGGGTGGGGGGGGGCAGTGAGGGGGGGGCAGGGGGAGCACCTGGGGGTCCGGGCCGGGGGTCCCGAGGAGCTCCCGCGCCTGAGCCACGATGGCCTTGAGCTCCTCCACGAACTTGTCCCGCTCCCCCTCCAGCACAAAATTGTCCTCGACCTGCGGGGGGGGGACACCGAGATTGGGGGGGGGATATGGCTTAGGGGACACAGGGACCAGATTGAGGGGGGGACACAGACTGGGGACACGGGGACAGAGTGGGGAGGGGGCCACGGCCGGGCTCGGGGGTCACCATGTAGCAGGCGATGTCCTCGGGCGCGTCCCCGTCCACGTCAAACCTGAAGGTGACCATCTTGCTGTCGTGGGTCTCCAGCTGGCACTCCACCGTGTTGTCCCCAGCCGAGGACACCTGGGGGTGGTGGCACTCCGTGACCGTCCCTGTGCCATCCCCGCTGTCCCCCCCGGCCCCCCGGCCCGGCCCTCACCTGCAGCACGGTGAGCTGGAAGCGGGCGGGGCGCTGGCAAGACGCGCGGCGCTGCCGGGCACGCGGCGCCTCGGGGACATCGGGGACACGCAGCAGCGAGGGGTCCTCGGGGCCGGGGAACAGCGGGGGCTGTGGCAGCGGGGATGGTGGTGGTGGCATCTCCGGGGACATCCCCATGGCTGGTGGCATCATGGATGGTGGTGGCATCTCCGGGGCTGGGGACATCCCCATGGCTGGTGGCATCATGGACGGTGGTGGCATCTCCGGGGCTGGGGACATCCCCATGGCTGGTGGCATCATGGACGGTGGTGGCATCTCCGGGGCTGGTGGCATCATGGGTGGAGCTGGCATCCCTTGGGCTGGTGGCACCCCCAGGGGTGGTGGTGGCACCATGGCTGGTGGTGGCATCTCTGAGGCTGGTGGCATCACGGAGGGTGCTGGCACCCCTGGGGCCGGTGACACCGCCATGACCGGTGGCATCACGGGTGGAGGTGGCATCCCTTGTGCCGGCGGCATCGGGGATGGAGGTGGCATCTCCGGGGCCGGTGACACCCCCACGACCGGTGGCACGACGGACAGCGGTGCCATCCCCAACACCGGCACCAGCTGTGGCTGCACGGTGGGGACCGGCTGCGGTGGCACCCCCTGGGCCGGGGCCATCCCTGGTGGCACTCCCGGAGCCACCGGCACTCCGGGGCCTGGCTGCAGCTGCACCACGGTGGGGACCAGCTGGGGTGGCACCCCCAGGGCTGGTGGCACCCCCTGGGCTGGTGGCACTCCCTGGTTTGGTGGCACTCCTTGGGCTGGTGGCACTCCGGGAGCCACTGCCACCCCTTGGGCTGGTGGCACCCCCAGGGCTGGTGGCACTCCTTGGGCTGGTGGCACTCCTTGGGTTGGTGGCACCCCCAGGGCTGGTGGCACTCCTTGGGCTGGTGGCACTCCCTGGGCTGGTGGCACTCCCTGGGCTGGTGGCACTCCTTGGGCTGGTGGCACTCCTTGGGCTGGTGGCACTCCTTGGGTTGGTGGCACCCCCAGGGCTGGTGGCACTCCTTGGGCTGGTGGCACTCCTTGGGGTGGTGGCACCCCCAGGGCTGGTGGCACTCCGGGAGCCACTGTCACCCCCGCTGCCGGCAGTGCCACCCCTGCCACCCCTCCCGGTGCCATCCCCGGCCCCGGTGCCCCCGGTGCCACCTGTGGCTGTGTCCCCACTGTCACCGACCCCCCTCCACGGGGGTCTCCCTCCGGTGCCGGTGGCTCCGTGCTGGCTCCCGCGGTGCCATCCTCCGCTGTCCCCTCGGTGGCCTGGCTCACCTGGGGGACACGGGGCGGTGCCAGCGGGCTCTGCGCCCCCCCGGGACCCCCCCGGGACCCCCCCGGGTGACGGGCACTTACCGGGGGTGGCACGGGGGGGGACAGCCCGTCCTGGGGTCCCTGCGGGTACCCCCAGAGCTGCTCCGGTGCCCCGGTGACACCGCAGGGACCGGGGACATCCGGGGGGGGGGCGTTGTCCTGGAGCCCCTCGGCTGTGGGGAGGGAGAAACGGGGGGGGGGGCACTGCTGGGGGGTCTCACTGGGGCTGGGGACAGTCGGGGGACAAGGGGGGCAGTTTTGGGGTGTCCAGGGACAGTTGTGGGGTGTCCAGAGGCAGTTTTGGGGTGTCCAGGGACAGTTGTGGGGTGTCTGGGGACAGTTTTGGGGTGTCCAGGGACAGTTTTGGGGTGTCCAGAGGCAGTTTTGGGGTGTCTGGGGACAGTTTTGGGGTGTCTGGGGGCAGTTTTGGGGTGTCTGGGGCAGTTTTGGGGTCTCACCAGGGCCGGGCGGGGGCTGCTCCCGCAGCAGCTGCTGCCTCACGTGCTGATCGACCTCGGTGTCCTCGCTCTCGGGGCCCCCCCGGATCTCGGGGCCCCCCCGGATCTCCGCCTGCTTCCTCTCCCGCGTCTTCCTCACCAGCGCCAGCCGGTCCCGGATGGATTTGGCCACGGCCTTGGAGTCGCTCTCGTGGAAGAACCCGGATTTCACCTGAGGAGGGGAATTTGGGGTGTCCGGGGGGGGCTCGGGGTCAGTTCCAGGGGGAATTTTGGGGGGTGTCGGTTTTGGGAGAGGTCCAAGGTGAGGTCGAAGGATGAATTTTGGGGTGACTTTTATCCTGGGAGGGACCCAAGAAGAGTTGCAGGTACCAACTGTTGGGTTCCTGGGTGGATTTTGGGGCGCCACTGCCTTGGGGGGGGCTCCAATTTCGGAGTCTCACTGAATTTGGGGAGAACCGAGCCCAATCCTGGGCCAGCCCTGAGGGGTTTTGGGGTCCCCTCACCATCTCGTAGGCCACCTCCTCGGGGACATCGGCCTCCAGGTTGAAGCTGAACTCGATGGCCTCGTTGTCCTTGTGCTTCCCCTTGAGTTTTTTGGGGTCCTCCACCCAGAGGCGCAGCGCCAGCGCCGGCTCCAGCCCCGCGTCGTCCTCGGCCAGCTCCACGCGCAGCCCCGTGTCCTCGGCGAAGAACGCGTGGTCCAGCAGGTCCCGGATGGACAGCCTGGGTGGGGTGGGCGGCGTGGTCAGTCCTGGGGGTCCGCAGGGTCCTGGGGAGGGGTCCCAGCCCAGCCCAGCCCAGCCCAGCCCACCTCTCAGCCTTGTTCTGCCGGATGCAGCCCTCGATGATCTCCTTCACCTCGGGGTCCGTCACCTTGTGGAAACTCGCCGGCTTGATGCCCTGCAGAGGGGGGGACGTGGGGACTTGGGGGGCTCTGGGGGTCTCAGGGGGGGTTTGGGGGTCTCGGGGGGGGGACA